TTTTTAGCCACACGTCCGAGATGGAGGAACACAACGGACATGCATTGCGAAGTTGGAACTTATACAAATTTTAGAATTTTGGGTGAGTTTTTCGGCGTATAAATGCTTCGAAATCAATCATAAGCTTTGAATGAAGGAAAAGATTAATCATTGAACTTGTTTTGAGTTCTTTGCTCTTCTTTCAAAGGAAAACCCCCGGATTATGAATTGATGCTCCGATAGAGAAGCTGTCTGGCCAGGTGATGCTGATGTATACAAAAGGCTGTCATTTTAAAAAGTTTTCGCCTCTTAAGGATTTGATTTTGAAACCAAGATGGATTCAAAAACTAGATTCAAATTGAGTTTTCCGTCCACTACAGACAAGGTCTTGGACTTCAAACCAGAGACGTTCGGTTGATTTCAACTTGTCATGCTTGCCTTCCTTTATACACAAAAAGTAAAAAAACTTTCGAATATGGCATTTTTAATGAGTTGAAAATATTTGTTCACTCCCAATTGGATCAATCGCTTGATTAATTTTCAGTTCTCCAGATGAAAAACTGGGTCAAAATATGATCCGATCTTTTTTGGATCATTGTCAATCGCTCGGGTTTATGATCACATTCGACGTGACGTTTGACAAAAACTCTCTGTCACACTTATATGAATCTAGGAAGAATGTTTGAAGAGACTTGATTTATTGTCTATAAGTAACTTCATTCAACTTCTTGAAATTTTCTCCAGGACTAATTTGCATAGAAGAATCTTCCATCCTAACACAATTCTACGGTATAGCAAATAATCCGAATACAGTATAACCAATCAAATAATTATACTTTTTCCTCACAGTTTTCTCAAGGTTTTGAAAGCAAATTACCAAAAACCCGGACGAGACATAATCAGAGAAATCTCATGCATTTTATTTGGGAAATAGGTGCGATATCGAGAACTATTTATTTTCTATATAAACTTGTTAAAAAAGAAGGTGACTGAATGGTCTCTGTTGCCATTTTTATCCAAAGATCGATAATACTTCAATCCAGAGCAAAACAATGATTGGAATGTTAAGTGTTTCGAAACCACTGCCGAATTTTCAAAGACATTATTTCATTCATTGACGTTTCCTACTATATCTTTTTTTTAGGAATAATGGCGTTGATCAGATTTTTTTGTTTGATCGCAATTGTGTCGCTCGGCGGACTACTCCCAGTTATTCAGGCAGATGAAACCCTCTCAACTTCTGAGGGAACTCCACCGACATACGAAACTTATGAACCAGGCGTGAAGATAACACATGGATCAGGTAGCAGCGTAGATGATGACGATGATGTTTCTGAACAAACGATTCAGGAAGATCCCCAAATTACAAATAATGCTGCTTCGAAAAGCACGGATGGCGGAAATGATGCGGACGCGAGTGAGGAAAACACGACGAAGAAGGGTGATTCATCCACAATGCCTCCAGTTTTGTCATTGTCTTCGATTTTGCCCATGGAATCCAGTCAAAATGGCAAGACTGAGGGACCTAATCAAGGAGGGACTGAGGGACTTACTGAAGGAAGAGGACCTACCGAAGGAAAAGAACCTACGGAAGGAGAAGGACATACCGAAGGAAAAGAACCTACCGAAGGAAAAGTACCTACCGAAGGAGGAGGACCTAACGAAGTGGGAGTTACGAACAATGTAACTATCGTTAACAATGGAAGTTCTAACCATGAAGGAGGACCTAACGAAGTGGGAGTTACGAACAATGTAACTATCGTTAACAATGGAAGTTCTAACCATGGAGGAGGACCTAACCAAGGAGGCGGTCCTAATAACGGAGGAGGAGGAGGACCCAACCAAGGAGGCGGTCCCGACAACGGAGGAGGAGGAGGACCCAACCAAGGTGGAGGCCATGGTCAGGGAGGATCGGGCGGAGAACACGGTGGTCATCACCACCACCACCACCACCATCAGAACGGAAATGAAGCAACTAAAGTAAAATTACTCCCAAGTGGACCAAATGCTGGCGACACTGTTCTTCCCAGTTGCGATGATTGCACCTCGTCAGAAATTGCCCTCAACGTTCCATTTTCCCTCGGAGGCATTCCGTGGAGAAAGGCTTACATCGCGACAAATGGTATCATTTCATTTGAGAGGAAGGTTCGTTGGTACGCCCCTTCTTGTTATCCGCGGACGAGCACCGCAGTGGCGCCGTTTTGGTCGGACGCCGACACGAGACACGGAGGTTACGTGAGTTATCGGCAGACCCAGGATCCGAGGATCATGCGTCGCATTCAGGAAGATGTCTCCAAGTACTACCCAAGGTCCGAAGTACCGGAACCGAGGTCTGCTCTTATTGTTACTTGGTCTCAGGTCCAACCCTTCGGGTCCAAAAGGTGAAGTTTATACACAAGCTTTTTTTCTTTAGATCATTTGATTTTATCCCCCGCTAACTCGTCAATTTTTTCTTCAATTTTTCGTATAACTCTGGTTTTTAAAGGCTCATATATTCTCTCAGCAGGCTTTTGAAAACCAAATATTTTTTTATATTTTGATGGACATATTTTTATGTTGGAGGAACGCTTGCAACACCAGCTTACCGACAATGAAAAATCAAGTCTGTGGTTTTAGTGGTTAATCCGAAACAGAAAGTAATTTCAAAATTCTTCCTTATACAGTATTTATTTAAAATGCAATGTCGTCGCCAAAAATTTCAAATGAAACCCATACAAGAGAGGTAATAAAAAATAATGTATCGCGACTATATAGGTACTGAACTGGTCGACGAAAAACGTGAAAGCACAGTACAGTACAGCACTTTATTTTTCATTCCTGTGTGCTTTAATTTGATTAGATACACTGTTCTTGGAATTCGTGGTTTAATTGTGCTAATTGGAATGTTGGTAAAATGATTTATGATGAAAAAGAAAATTCATCTTTCTGACGCTTGTTATCTTAAATATACGTTTCGTTTTTTCTTCCCTTTTTTTTAGAACATTGAAGAACACTTTCCAAGCTATCCTTGTGTCAGTTGATCGTCACAATTCGTTCGTCATCTTGAACTACGACAATTTGCAATGGATTTCCGGTGCGAACAACAGAAGAAAGCCGGCATTTGCTGGTCTAATATTCCCAGGATACGATTCGGATGGAGGTGACCTCGACCACGTTCTTCTTCCACTTTCCTGCTCAACAATTGCCAATTTTCTGAGTATATTCACAAACACGGACAAGATAGGTGGGCATTCACGAACTTTTCATATTTTTTAGTTCCGTACAGAAAATNAACGTTTTTTTCTTCAGATAAATTCAGACCAGTAGAAGTTATAGCTTTGCCAAAAATTTTAAATGGTAATGTTTGAAACATTCTTCCTTTTTTTGTATTGAAGGAGGCAATATCGCAGAGTTACGACATCGATCATTTGAAGTAACTTTTGATGCACTGCATATTTAAATCACGTTTGTCGTGAAAATTAAATTCCAGCGTGCTTCCAAAAACGTGAACTTCTGCATGAAGAGGGTTAAAATTCGTATGAGAATTGATTTACCTTAAATATTACATGTTCGGGAATTCCCAGAACTCCAACAGTTATGCTTCAATATTGTAGTTTTAGACAATACGACTGAATTTCTCTCTAAAAAAAATCGAAGGCCTAGTTCCGCAATTTTTAAAATTCTGTAGTGCAAGAAGTTCTCAATGCAGGGCAGGCTATTGATAATACAGCTTCTGGAATGAAATAAAGCCACGTGAAATAACCATGGAATCCATGCATGGAAATGCGTGCCGAAAGACTAAAAAAAAATACAGTGAAATCTCACAAGAAAGTAGCTATTGATATCAGGAAGAGAGCTTTTCAATGCAAAAAATATCTTTATTTACAGTAAAGGAATTCCAACATTCAAGATTACTTTACATAGATGCAATTAATGGAGACGAGCGCTAAAACGGTACGGGAATCGATGATGATCTGATGTACAATAGTTGCATCAGTGAAACCATGAACTTTACTTTCCTTTTCTCTTCGTGTATCTCATCCTTTTTTCTTTTTTTTCACCCCGCAGGAAAATATGTTTATTGGCCAACTAAAAACAGGGTGAAAGTGAGCCCCGAGAATAACGAAGGAATACCCGACTTTTTCATGCCTTTCGGACGGCAAACCGCGGACGAGAAACTGGCTGGTGGCTGTAGAGGAGATTGCGTCTCTGACGAAATAGAGTTTTCAGTCTATTTCGTATTCGGTAGCGCATTGGTGGATGACGTCTACATTCACAAAGATGGCAAAGTCGTGTTCCCCATTGAACACGAGCCCCGTTGCGGAGACCACGACAGGAAATTATTCAAAAGATCGGCTTCTTCTTCCGGCACTCGTGGTGGACGTCAATCACGACATGAGGATGATGGAGACGATGACGGATACGTTGGGTGGAGGGAAATTAGGAACCACGCTTTACTGCATAAACTGAGGCATCAAATTGCTCGTGGGTTGAGGGGACAGCCTGAGGGCAGAATGAGGGACCGAGTTGGGGAAATCGTCTGGGCTTTCGTCATCACCTGGTAAAACACATTTGCTCTGATACCGTATATATTGCCGAATTTTATTCGTGATTTAATTTTTAAAAATGAGACCAAGACTAGCTTTTTTTTTCAAAGATAAAATAAGCATGGTCTTGCTTTAGAGGCAAAAAAAAAAACCAAGTACCGTATTTACTTGAGTACCACACGCCCTTGAGTAAGGCGCGCACAGGGGTTTTCCACTTGAAAATTTTGCAAAAATTGTATCCCTGAGTAAGACACGCACCCAATTTTTTAGTGAACCTAACCCATAAAATTTCAAAAATAAAAACAAAAAATTTGACTTCAGGCATGAATTGATCAAAAATCTGATGAATTTTCAACTTTTTCTATACAAAAATGTTTTCTCTTTGTATTTGTACCAAATTTCTCCATTATAATCAAGTGTAATGCAAACATAACTTCCTAAAACTTCTTGAAAATTTTGTACCAGCTTATGACACACACCCCTTTTTTTCTTCTGAAATTTGGGAAAAAAGGTGCGCGTGGTACTCAAGTAAATATGGTATATTAATATTTTCTAAATTCACTCAGGAATGATTCATTGTCCCCAAATAGTCACTCCATTTATTTTGGCATAGCAAAATATGTCCAGGGAATAATTTGAACACTTGTTTTGCAAAGGATATCCAGTTTTTGATTCAATCTACAGTCAGACCCTGAGATGTGGACATAATTGGTGCATCAAGAGTGTCCCCAAGTTGAAATTTCCCTAAGTTGGGTCTTGTTTTCCCATAGACTCACATGATATAATTTTCAATTGGTGCTTTATTGAAGAAATATTCAACAGAAATTCCATTGAAAAAATTGTCCACTAGTTGAAATTGATTCAGTGAATATTTTTCGACTCATTAAGGACATTTGGAGCATTAAATACTGTACCTCTGTACAATAAATTGAAGTGCTATGTTGGTAACTGTAAAAATGACATTCAAGTCACAAATAGAGAAGGAAGTCCCTCTATATGCTATGGAGGTAATTTTTTAAATTAGCTGAATGAATGAGAAAATGATGGGGAAAATATGTAAAAACTTTTCTTGCATATATCTCAGGGTTGGAAATATCTGTTTCTTACAATTCACTTGCGAAAAATTGGACAAAATCACCAATAATTCAATATTTTTTCTGAAATTTGAAACTAAAGTATAACCGCAGAATGAAACCCAGCATCATAAAGGAATCCATAATAGGGCAAAAAACCAGCGAAAATATCCCCATTGTTTACGCAATGGATTAACTCCCAAATGATGGAGGAACACAAAATTGACCTGCATTTATGACTAAGAGAAAACTGATATGATTTACTGTATTTCATAACATGCCCATCTAGCACAATTTGTTCAAGAAACATCCAACTTTTTAAGATTAGTACTTCTTTAGATTATTTAAAGGTTGGTCACGTCCATATGAGATATATATTGTTGAGATGATGTAGGAGTATAGCCAGCATATGTACATATGTTGGGGATCACCTATACTGATGCTGTACAATTCTGACTTATTCCTACTCATTATATAGATTTAAACTCTGCCTTCAAACAGGTACAATGTGAAAACGGATCATCACAACCGCTCTGATGACGATGAACGCAGGACTGCCCAACTGGTGTGTTAAATGAGGCGAAAATAATTTTTTGAAGCAAGATATTCGTTACAGCCGCTTTTTTTTAAAGTCTGATGAGATGTATTTTGACGGGAACCTCACTAACCAAAGCAAAAACTTGCTTGCAGAGCATTTAAAAAAATCCATTATGCGAGGTGTCCATTATCCAGCAATACACAACTGTATTAAAAGGTATGCCTGAGAGTATTGAACAACAGTATTGCTGCAATAACTCAAATAATTTGTTTATCATCATTGGGCAAGTACAGTGCAACCCCAATAGACTGCCCCCTGTTAGACCACCACCCTCACTTCCAGCTAAGTTTTTCCTTCAAACCTTGAAAGGATGGGACACCCCAAGTAAACCACCAACCACCAACAAATTATCCCCTCCAAATCTGCTCCCAACATGAATTTTCCCCCTTTAAACCACCAACTGGTTTCATGTCCATCAGCCAGGTTTTTGTCTTTTGAAACCTGGTTTTCTGGTTTCCTCTCATCAAGGTTATGGTCTTCTGATGCATGGCCTTCTTCTTTTTTGTCTCTTAAAGAAAAAGCCAAAATAATTTCTTCTTAACCCTTGGATGGCGGAGGGTTCTTTCCCATAGTGGGACGGAGTTGGATTATTTTTGTATCCTCCCGCATTTTCAGTTTTGGGAAGGTCACCAAAACCCTTCCAGGTGGGCTGAGGCAAAGTTGGGATTAATCCAAAAAAAGCCGGTAGAGTGAGCATTTTTTTTTTTTGCCAGCAACATTTTTCTGTGCTCAGAGAAAAAAGCATTGGGATTTTTCCCAACTTTGCCCTTGACCACCTGTTATCATTTTTTTCCAAACCTCTCCAAGGTGCCACAAAATTTTGCAAAAATAGTCTGACTTTGCCGCACAAGGGTTAAACACATGAACTCATTTCCTCTCATGAAGGTTGTCATCTTCTGATGCATAGCCTGCTGCTCCCTTCTTTTTTTAACTAGCCAAAATAATTCATCCTCAAATACAGCATGACACCCTTCACAGTTCCATGTCAATAAACCCCTGAATATTATTGTCTACAATCTTCAGCAACTGCTTTGTCTCAACAACCAAGGACACAGAAGGTTGGACTTTTTTCAAAAATGCAAACAAAAAAATCAGTTCTAATCCCAGTCAACAGAGTTTGATCTTGGGAAGTGGTAGTGCTAAAGTGTGTAATGGTAGGGAAGATTAAGGCTATGATTCCTGAAAATTTCAAATGCATCCTTTAGAACTTGAATAAAGTAGTTTGCTCCACTTATATGTGATGCTTTTATGTTCCATGTGCCACCCTTTTTTCAACCTTCCCCCATTAAAATTTTTTTTTTGCTTCCCTTGTTAAACTGCCGAAATTTGGTGGCACAAAAATTGGCGGTTTAACATGGTTTGACTGTATTTACTAGGAAATTCATGGCTATTTAACATTAACAATATGGAAGTGTCAGTTGAAATTATCATTGAGAGGTTTTTAGTTTTTCTACAATATCTGGAAATATGCATAGAATACACAGAACATAGAATTTCCTTTGATTTCCAAGAACTGAAAGCTCTAAAAATGTCACTGGTACCTTCCAATTAGTGGTCTTATATCAATATTGTATTTTTGTAGATCAAAATAATGCACCTCTGATGGTCTTTGTTTGCCTCCAAATAAGCTGATGTTTATGAGAATTCAAACTTTGATATTAATTCATCACATTTGCTTATCAATGCCTCCGTTTCAACCACAGTACAAGTATACTATTACGATACTTCTCTGATTTGTGTAATATGATTGCAGTTCATCACGCAGCAGAGTTCATTAAAAATACATGCCACCATATAGGGATTTAAAACTACAGTATGCAAGTCTGGAAAAACACGCATTTTTTCCAAGAAAGCCCGCTTTTTTTCTCTGGCTTCAGTTGCATGAATCATGACTGAGCGAATATACTTGGCGAACTTTTCAACATGT